AATATGACAAAAAGGACAGTACGAATAACAGGTGTTATTCCTCGGTTTCCCGTACGGAAAATATTTCGGACACATACAGTCTATAATAAATAATACTATTTATTAATCCAACACCAAATTTATTATAATTTTAATTATTATAAGAAATACAAATATAAGGTTATATAAATTATTTGTATCGAATAAAGCTATGTTGGCAAACGATAAATCCACTAGGAAACCCATTTATAATTTGTGGCAAAAAATTCTCACAACGGGTACAACATTTTCCAGTTTGTGGTAAGCGGTTTATTAGCAAATATCCATTGGTTAGCCCTGTGATCATTAAACGGTTTTTATATTTCTGTAGAAATGTTATAAAATTTTCCATCTGAACGGTATACTTGACTGTCATGAACTGCATATCGTAAATGTATATTAGATTACAATCACATACAACCATCATTTCTCCGGCTCCGATGGCTATTTTCCTAACGTGGGACTCTGGTAATCGATAGGTTTGAAATTCCATCTTTGATTGTAACATAGCTTTAACGTCAAAGCTATAAAGCAGTTGTCCAGTTTCTGACAGTTCAACGCCTACAATCTTCATTTCCCCGATTGTGTATAAATTAAGCGGTTGGTTGTCGAATGATAACAATCTTGTCTGATATATAAGTTCATAGTTGAATGAGTGATTTTCAATATAAACTCTAATCAACGCCACGTTCTCGCCATTTTGTAAGAGTAGGATAAGTCCGTCATTTGGATAGAAGAATCGACGAGCAGATAGTATACTAAAATCTGATACTCCTGTTGCCAAATATCCAATAATTTCATAAGTGACGTCGTGAATATTGCCGTCATTGATTCGGATTAATCGCCCTCCATATGTCATCCCTAATATGCCAAACTCGGTTTTCTGTAGTGAAACTACACGCTCTTCACCGATGTTTGTAATGTTATACGTGTTTGCATTAAAATAGTATATGTTACTATTATCAGTAATTATGTACATCCCACAGTCGTTGAGTGGAACTATACATGTGACCTCATCAGTTGTCGCTACCATTGATAAACGGAATTGATAGCCGTCGAGACTGTAAACGTATAGATATCCAGTGTTGAGTCCAATGACAATTTCTCTTGACGAGATACCAACAGCTGTAACGTACGTGTCGTATGTGTGCCAATTATCGGTCAATAAAATTTCCGTTGGTGCCATTTTTGGATTTATTGGTGAATATTCGGTGATGACATCAGGTTTAAGTTGTTCCATCCAATGTATATCTACAGATTTCAACTGATCAGATAACCACCAGTTACCATCCACTGGTGCCCGCAGACCAGTATCCCAAGCCTGGGGTAGGTCAGACTCGGTCTTAACTGTTATCTCGTTTTCATAACAGCCGTGAAAATTTTCAACAAACTGAACAATTGGCTCAACACCCGCATTGATATTAGTAATGGTTTCATCACAAGGTTCAGTTTTGATGCGTTTTGGTGATGACTCACCATAAATCGCATCGATATCTGTACTCGAAATAGGTGACGTTCCAGAAAACAGTTCATCAAATCCGAGTGAGTGCATCTCTTCTAATATTTTATTGTTATCGTATGTAGATAATGTAGTGAAGAAGTCGTCCATTTCTTCTTTGCTAAGCGGGGCAAAGTCTGGACTTTCATATGACGTTGAAGGTTGTGGTTCCATACTACGTAGTGATAAATGTATTATAGGCAACGCCCTAAGACATCATGCTCGGACAGGCCTATAATTTATGTTGAATACTGGCTACGCCCAAAGCCATTCGGCTCGGACTCAGCGCCAGTCTCGGGGTATCATTTGATCCCTCATCGTTGCTCACCAAATGTAGGGGAAGTGGGTACATTACGGGTATCTAGGCTTGTCTAACCTTTCTTATGTAAACCAAACACTCGGCAATTCACCACTTACCTTACGGTTTTGACTCTTTTAGTGATAACTTATAGTAATGCGTGGCTTAGGAACGAGCGGTTTCCTATTTAATCTACTATGACCAATTAGGTCTGTAGCCATAATAGGGTCTGTCACCCAAATAGGGTCTGTCACCCGAGTAGGGTCTGTCACCCCAAATAGGCTTTGTCACCCAATAGGGTCTGTCACCCAAATAGGGTCTGTCACCCAAATAGGGTCTGTCACCCAAATAGGGTCTGTCACCCAAATAGGGTCTGGCACCCAAATAGGGTCTGTCACCCAAATAGGGTCTGGCACCCAAATAGGGTTTCAGATCCGTCTAGGGTTTCAGATCCGTCTAGGGTTTCAGATCCGTCTAGGGTTTCAGATCCGTGCAGGGTTTCAGATCCGTGTAGGGTTTAAGAACCGTGTAGGGTTTAAGAACCGTGTAGGGTTTCAGATCCGTGTAGGGTATAAGATCCGTATAGGGTTTAAGATCCGTATAGGGTTTCAGACCTTTATAGTCACAGATCAGAAGGCCTGGAAGGACCGTGGGCCTGGAAGGACCTGGAAGGACCGTGGGCCTATAAGGACCGTGGGCCTATAAGGACCGTGGGCCTATAAGGACCGTGGGCCTATAAGGACCGTGGGCCTATAAGGACCGTGGGCCTATAAGGACCGTGGGCCTATAAGGACCGTGGGCCTATAAGGACCGTGGGCCTATAAGGACCGTGGGCCTATAAGGACCGTGGGCCTATAAGGACCGTGGGCCTATAAGGACCGTGGGCCTATAAGGACCGTGGGCCTATAAGGACCGTGGGCCTATAAGGACCATGGGCCTATAAGGACCGTGGGCCTATAAGGACCGTGGGCCTATAAGGACCGTGGGCCTATAAGGACCGTGGGCCTATAAGGACCGTGGGCCTATAAGGACCGTGGGCCTATAAGGACCGTGGGCCTATAAGGACCGTGGGCCTATAAGGACCGTGGGCCTATAAGGACCGTGGGCCTATAAGGACCGTGGGCCTATAAGGACCGTGGGCCTATAAGGACCGTGGGCCTATAAGGACCGTGGGCCTATAAGGACCGTGGGCCTATAAGGTACACTAAGAGCCATCCGTTAACGGATACGGGGTCCGGAGTTCTCATAATAAAAATATTTACTTACGTAATAGTTGTTAGCTGTCCGCGTAGTTGTGGATAGGTCCAAAGGCGTCCCTTAAGATGTCCAAACAGTTGATTCGCGATGACAAAGTAAACACACACACAAAGTAATATGCAAATACTTTTATTAATTCACTTTAAAGTAATACACGTAGTATGACTCCAAGTGGAGAACTGATTTTGGTGTTCGAAAGACACCTCTATTTATACTAAAGTGTACGTTCGGAAAAAGTGTGTCGCATTGAGTCAGGTTTTAATCACTATTAAAACTGGGAGTTTACTATTTAATTTTTTCTATAACATTTTAGTGCATTATTTTAACACTAAAATATTGAATAAAATTTCCTTAAAAACAAGGTGTTTACCTTTAGGTTTTCTGTATAACATTTTAGTGCTGTTATAAATTTTTAACAAATAAAAATAAGAATAATTTTTGAAATACTTTTTCTGAGTAAAACAAATAATATACCCTTACAATATATTTTAATTATGTATGTTATCCTTGACTTCAATATAAAATTATTTAATGTAGAAATATTAGTGTATATAAGCATTTGTTTATTATAGGGAAAGTTTTCAATAATTTAGCTTATGTAATAATTATGTTTTTTTAATTATTTAAATAAAAACAAAACTTATTTAATAGTTAAATATTTTGCTGATTTGACCCACTATTGCAATATAATTAACAAAATACACGAAAGTTATTTGAGTTTTATATATATATATATATATGTATATATATATATAAATAAGTAAATAAATTAAAAAATATATACATTTATGTATAAAATAAATTATATTTCGATTAAATTTGAATTTATTTTAATTGACATTATTTCAAATGAAAACTATTTATTTATTTATTTTGAAAACAAAAATGATTTCAAATAGAAACTTATGATGAAATAATTATTATAAAAAACTATTAAAATTTAAAATATATATATATATATATTCAAGGTCATTGTTTGAAAATACTAACACAAACAAACACACACACAAAAGTAATTAACTTTTTATTATGATATTAATAAAAATTATTATTATTATTATTATTAGTTAGTAGTATACTATTTGAAAACATAAATTTAAATTTAGATTAAAAATTAATTAATTATTTATATTAAATATATATATATTATATAATATTAAACACGTAAACTAACATTCAGTCAATTGAAGAGAGAAAATAAAATAAAAACAAATATTCAAAAATTTCTTATAATATTAATTAAAAACAAATTAGTTATATATTTATATAAATAAATATATATATTTGTTGTAAATATTTTGATAATTATTTAGAAATCATTTAATCAATATTAATAAAATTTTTTAAAAATTATTATTATTATTAAATTGAAATAACATAATAATTGGCAAACATATACATATAAATAGCTCAGTTAAAATCCACTAATTATCTTGAAACTAATTTAATCCATACTAATCTAATCTATTTTTAACTTAATTTAAAACTAAAAAAAAATTATAAAAAAATTACAATAAATAAATAAATTTTATATTATTATTAATTATTATTTAATACAATAGTTGAATTTAAGTTTAATTAATAAAATTATATAAATGACAAATTATTATTATATAATTATTGTAGAAAATAATAATAATTTTTTAGCAATTAATTATTTAAACTAAAAAATTATTATTAATAATCATAATTAATAGTAGAATTAACTCTAATCATACATTTTTTTTGTAAATTAAAATATTTATTAAAAGTATTTTAAAAAATACTATTACTATTTAATTAGATTATAATTAATTAATTAAGTAATTTAATTAAAAAAATATTATAATTGATTGTAATTTTTTTCTAAAAATTAAATAAAAAATAATTTTTAAATTTTTGTCTCTCTCTCTCTCTCTCTCTCTCTCTCTTTCCGATCAATAAAAAAAGTCATGTCATTTGCTACCGAAGCCGATATGATCTCATTCTACAATAAACAAGAAACCGGTTATCCGCCGCAGAGTCTGGTACTGTGCGGTATAATCATCACCAGCGGCGACGACCAGTTGGCCAATCGGCTGAACTATACATTGAGATTTTCGTCGACACCACGTTTTCAGCCGCCTAATCGGCTCCGACCTCTGCGAAACTGGTGGACACAGTTTACGTTTCCCTTGTTTGCCAAACCGGGACCCCGAGCTGCCGAATACGATACCGGTGCCGAACCCGGCTATCAGGAGGACGGTTTCCTAACCATCCAACATGCCGTAGCCATGTCAGTGGCCTCGTATATAACCCAAAGCCCATCATCATCGGATGATATCGATTCGGACGTTACCGTCCGTATGCAACGTTTTCCCTACCCGTCCTATATCGACGATATTTTCCTACTGGCCCTCCAATTCCTATTTCCATTCATACTGATGCTATCGTTCATCTATCCGGCCGTTAATTTAGTCAAAAATATAGTCATCGAAAAGGAGAAGCGGCTGAAAGAGTCGATGAAAATGATGGGTCTGAAAAATTGGCTTCACTGGATCGCCTGGTTTATCAAAACGTTTGTCTGGTTGACCGTTACTACGGGACTGTTATCCCTATTGTTGACAATGTCTATCAAAGATGGTGTCGGCATTATGAATGCCAGCAACGGATTCTTGATATTCTTCTATTTTGTTAGTTATTCAATCAGTTGTATTTCGTTCAGTTTCCTCATGAGTACACTGTTTTCAAAGGTATGTCCGAAACAACAACCAACCAATCAAACAAACAAAACATTTTTAAAACTTTTTTTATTTATTGTAAATCTAATAAAAATAATTTTAACCCGTTTTATAGGCCAACGTATCGGCCATTGGCGGCGGTGTCCTATTTTTTATGGCATTTATGCCATACTTTTCACTATTTCCCCGATATCGGTAATCATACTTGAAAAAAATGATAGCTAACTGTGCCTAACTATCTAATCAGCAATTGTTTAACTAATTTATCTATATATTTTTATCTAATTACCTAACCTAACCTACCTACTAATTAGGGATCTGGGTCTAGTACAGAAGCTGGCCTCGTGTCTATCATGCAATACGGCTCTGGCCATGGGTTCGATGATCATAGCCATGTGGGAGGGCAACAGTGTCGGCATTCAATGGTCAAATCTGAACGAAACTGCATCGCCCGACGACACACTAACCGTCGGCTACGTACTGGTCATGTTCTATGTGGACACTGTTATCTATCTGGTGATGACCTGGTATATCGAATCGGTATTTCCCGGCGAATACGGTGTACCCTTGAAATGGTATTTTCCGTTCAGCCGAAGCTATTGGTTTGGCCGGCGACAAGTGGTCGGCGACGAAGAAAAAGTTCAGCTGAATAGTCCCCAACATAACGGCAACGTCGACGACAATAGCGATAGTCTCGAACGAGAACCGTTAGGTTTGCGAACCGGTATCCAAATATCGCATCTGTCGAAAACGTTTGGCGGAAAAAAATTTGCAGTCAATGATCTCAATTTGAATGCATATAAAGGCCAGATTACAGCACTGTTAGGTCATAACGGAGCAGGTATTTAACAACAAAAAAAAACTACATGTTTTTTAGACCTACCATACCATTTAGCATACTATTCCATATAACGTAATAATTTTTAAAAAAAATTTATTTTAAGGCAAAACCACAACAATGTCAATACTGACCGGACTGTTCCCGCCGTCAAGCGGTACGGCTCTGGTCAACGGTTACGACATACGCAAAGACATGAACAGAGTTCGGTCGAGTCTCGGTATATGTCCGCAGTTTGACGTCCTGTTCGACGAACTGACTGTCGAAGAGCACCTGTACTTCTACTGCGAACTGAAGAACTACAGCCGTAAAGATATTGGCGATGAGATTACATATATGATCGAACTGTTAGGTTTGACTGAGAAGCGCCATAAGGCTGCGGGAACGCTGTCCGGCGGCCAAAAACGTAAACTATCCGTCGGTATAGCACTGGTCGGTAAGTCGAAGATTGTCATACTGGACGAACCGACATCGGGTATGGATGTCTACGCCCGACGATTCACTTGGGATCTACTGTTGAAAGAGAAGACCGACCGAACAATACTATTGTCCACACATTTTATGGAAGAAGCGGACGTAAGTACCTGTTGTTGTTGTTGTTGTGACCACTGATTGATCTGTGATTTAACTATTGGATCAATTGATTGATTGACTGGTTGTCTGTAGGTTTTGGGCGAACGTATAGCCATTATGGCCAACGGTCAGCTCCAGTGTTGCGGTTCGCCGTTGTTTCTGAAAAAACGTTACGGCGCTGGCTATCATCTGACAATTGTCAAATCGGGCGAATCGACCGACATCGGTGCCCTAACCCGACTGATACAGTCGCATATTGTCGAGGCCAAAATGAACAGCAATGCCGGCAGCGAAATCAGCTACAGTCTACCCGATCACAGTAGCAGCCATTTTGAGAGCCTGTTTACCACAATTGAGATGCAAAAACTGAGACTCGGCATCGATAGCTACGGCGTATCGATTACCACTATGGAGGAGGTGTTTCTCAGGTATGTATAGATGGATGTATGGATGTATGGATGTATGGATGTATGGATGTATGGATGTATGGATGTATGGATGTATGGATGTATGGATGTATGGATGAACAGCCATATCTCCATCGATAGCATTGATAATTGATTTTTTTATTGTTTCAATGGATATGACAGAGTCGGCCAGTACGCTGAGGACGGTATGAAAGGGTTGGCCGGCGACGGCAGCGGAAATGCCGACAGAATCAAAACGGCGGACACGAGAAGTGAAGTATCACTTGATTTGGACACAGCTAAGGACGACCCGAATGCCCGTAATACGGGTTTTCCGTTAATACGGCAACAGTTTTACGCGTTGTTTATGAAAAAAGTATTGTATACGATGAGGAACCGTACACTGACGCTGTCCCAGTTGACTATACCGACATTTTTTGCACTGATGGTACTGATAACCGTTAAGACATTACCGAAATTAGGCGAATCGCCCGGTCTGGCCCTAACATTGGACAACTATAAGGGCGCTGAAGTACCCTATTTTGTTAGCAATCGATCGGATATTGAAGTACGCGATTTTGCCGGCGACTATCGCCAGCAGTTTTCGGGTCGACCGGCCAGAGATCAAGTATACGAATTGGTTCGTACGGATGAGGACAGCGGTAATCTTAGCCAGTTTATGGTCGACCAGCTGATTGATAAGGCCCGAAAAGATATTGCCTATTTCAATCTACATGTGCCGATGGGTGCCATGATATGCGACAATAGCCGACGACAGTGCGGTATCGAATCGGCCGCTGCCGACTCGCTAGTGGTCACCGCATTGTTCAACAATCAACCGTTTCATGCGTCGGCCATCAGTCTGGCGGCAGTTGACACGGCTATTGTCCGCTATGTCGCCCAAAATCCTAACTACACTGTATCGGTAGTCAATCATCCGTTACCGTTGACTACCGCCGATAAACTACTTCAAGTACAGTACGCATCGCCCGAACAGTTCCAGTTGTCGCAGAATCTGATATTTTCGATGTCATTTTTGGCCGCAAGTTTTGCCGTACTTCTGGTCAAAGAGTCGTCAATCAAAGGCAAACATTTGCAACAGGTTTGCGGTGTTAAGCTCTACCTGTTTTGGTTGACATCGTTTATCTGGGATTTCTTTATCTATTTGATTGCCTGTATTGGTGTTCAACTATGCTATCTGGCCATGAATGAAGAACCGCTGGCCAGTCTGGCCCAACAAAGTCGCTTATTGGTCGTATTCGTTACCCACGGGTTTGCACTGTTACCACTAGTCTATCTCCTGTCGTTCCTGTTTGACGTCCCATCGACAGCCTATGTCCGCATATGTCTTATATCGTTGATTGTCGGTATCGGTGCCTTTCTGACCGTAGTCGTAGCCGAACTACCGCTACTGGATCTGAAAGATACAGCCCTATCGCTGGACTGGTCGTTCAGTGTACTGCTGCCCAACTATAACCTCGGGCGGGCCGTCTATAATCTCTATATCAACTATTTGGGCAATAAGTTTTGCAATATACAGATCTTGCAAAAGGCATGCAATTTGGGAACCGTTAGCGCCGAAGAATTTGTACGTATGCTTCGGGAAGATTTCTCACAGTTTTCCTATTTGTTTGAGGATTATGTGAATTTGATACCGAAATCGATGAACGTTACGATACCGGTGCCCGACGCTATTAAAGCCTGTTGTAAAGGTATGTCCGTAAAAATCCCGTAAAACGTATGTCCGACAAAAAAATACCCAAAAATTAATTTGGTTTTTACCGATTTTTTTCTATATATAGACAAATGTGGGGACAGGTGTTTCCCGTGGGAATCAAACTTCTATTCGGTTAACAATCCGGGTATCGGACGGCTTCTCATATTTTTCGTATTACAAGCCGTGGTATTCTGGATGTTGATAGTGTTGGTCGAGTTGAAAGTCATACGCAATCTGAAGTACCGATTGATTCAGTTGAAGATAGCCATTGTCGGCAAGTTTAGCGGCAATCGGGGAAAAAATCTGGAAATGTCCGACAAACTGGACGATGATGTCAAGGCAGAGGCCGAACGAATAGAGAACCGGGATTTAGGAAAACTGGTCGAATCCGATGCTATGATTATCCGAAAGTTGACCAAATATTACGGTACTTTTTGTGCCGTCGACCATATCTCCTATGGTGTACATCGGGGCGAATGTTTCGGACTGTTGGGTGTGAACGGCGCCGGTAAGACTACAACGTTTAAGATGATTACGGGTGACGAAACCATATCCGAAGGCGATATCCGGGTCAACGGTTACGATGTCAAGACCAACATACAGGCTGTACAGCAACAGATCGGCTATTGTCCACAGTTTGACGGACTACTGGAACAGTTGACCGGCCGGGAAACGTTGGCCTTGTTTTGTCGGCTACGCGGTATTCGCGAGCAGGACATCGGCCGGCATACCGACGAAATTAGTCGACTGTTGTATTTTGATATGCATTTGGATAAACTGGTCAAGAATTATAGCGGCGGAACCAAACGAAAACTGAGTACAGCAGTGGTCAGTAGTCTTCGTGTTGTTGTTGTTTAGATCCCATTCCCCTATACTAAACATTACATACATTTTTTATAGGCAATGTTAGGCGAACCGTCCGTCTCATTCCTGGACGAACCGACCACTGGCGTCGATCCAGTGGCCCGTCGGTGCCTATGGGATGCGTTGTCCAAAAAACTAGGCGAAGGCCGTTCAATAGTACTGACCTCACACTCGATGGAAGAGTGCGAAGCCCTATGCAATCGGCTGATAATTATGGTCAACGGCCGTATCGCTTGCATCGGTAGTCCGCAACAATTGAAAAACAAGTTCGGCAAAGGCTATACCGTACGGATCAAAGTCCGTACGGGTTTGGTGGCCGCTGCGGCAACCGATGGCGAAAACGCTAGCATAGCTACAGCCGATGATGTTTCGTCATCGGTTAAGACACCGTCGACAACAACGACAACGACCACCACTACCGCCACCACCGTCAACGGTGATGGACGCCGTCAGTCGCGTATAGCTTGGCGTCAGAATAGTGTCGTATCCAGAGATCTAGTATTGGATCATAATATTGACGAATTGAAACAATCGATGGACCGATGGTTTCCCGGTTGTTGTCATCTGATGGAGATTCACTATAATCTACTCAACTATCATATCGATGATCCATCGATATCGTGGTCACATATTTTCGGTACCATCGAAAAGGCCAAAGTCTTGCTCAATATCGAAGACTATTCCGTTGGTCAGACAACTCTCGAACAGATATTCCTCGAGTTTGCCAAAAAACAAAAGGAAGACTTGTTGTTGTAATTTTCATTCATTAATTAAATTAAATTAATTATTTATTTTTAATTATTATAATTAAGTTTTTACTAATTATTATTTAGTATTAATATTATACTTAAAAAAAATTTTAAAATTTATTTTACTATTTATTTTTAATATACATTATATATGATATGTTAAACATTTTTAAAATACTGAATATATTTTTTTGAATTTTTTTTTAAATATAATAATACATAATATTGTCGACCAGATGTCGACAGTTATGCACTTTAATCGACACTAATATATCGTATATAAGATAACGTTATTATATCGTATTTTTCAGTTATTATAATTCAATCGTTTTTACGTAATATTAAATAAACATTAAATTTATTAATTGTTTCGTTTTTATTACGCAATTGTCGGCTAACTGGCCGACATTCTGGCGCAGTCGGTAAAATAACTCAACGTCACGACAGTCATCGATAATATCGTATCAACCGTCATGCCGTACACGTACAGTACCCGCAGCCGTACCCGACCGGTAGGCACACCGAAACCACGTGTTAGTCGTCGCATAGGAGCTAACGATCACTCGAAAAGCGGTAAGTATCCTGTATCTGGAGTCAGCGACACCGATATCGAGACCATCTCACTGGTCTCTCGGCCGTCCACATCGAACCGTCCGATACGATCACCGCAATCACCGATCAAACAGAGCTTAAGCGCTAACACTCGACACACATCTCACTCGGCATTGATACGAAACGATTTCGATGACACACCCGCTATACCGTATGTATATCAACCAATCATTGGTCTGGTATGCGATAAGTATAGCGGTCCCGACCCGAACATCACCATCGAAGAATGGTTACGCATGTTTTCGCTGCTCACTGTCGATGTAAGCGATAACAAAGAAAAACTTAAAGTACTCGCCCGCCACCTGTCCGGAGAAGCGCTCTCATGGATGGCCGAGGAAATCGAACCGAACTGGCACTCCATGACCTGGAATCGGTGCCGAGATCTCATGATCTCCCGATTCGGTCGAAAATCAACGAACCCATTAGTCGAAGCAATACATCGACAACTCAACCGAAATGAGTCCGTCATCGACTACTACAACGATATGAGATGACTGACACAACAGGCCGGTCTCAACGACATCAACGCCGTCGCTTTGCTTACCGACGGTATGCCCGATAGTTATCGACATATATTAGGCGCGTCTCGCTTGAAGACACCTCAGGACTGGTATGAGGTCGCCATCAATATCGAGTCCGCAAAAATAAAGCGCAAACATTCGCGACATAACTCTGGTCGTAATCAAGACGACAGTTATACCGAAAGCTCATCTGAGAGCTCATCACCCGAAGACTACACGATTTGCGTTCAAGTAGTACCACATATCGATTCTCATATCGATACACATATTGATTCTCATATCAATACGATTAACGATGCAAACGAATGCAAACAACCGATTCGATCGACACCTAAACCCGAATCTACTACCGAAACATGTCGTCCTATTGAGACAATGACTGTCCCTAACATTGTTATGGCGACAGACACCGTCACATTTGGACAAGAAATCGCCGACACCACCGATAAAGACATAGACAATACAGTATTCGTCGAAACAACGCCTAAGACACTACAAGATCGCCGAAAGTTATCAAATTCGCAATATTTATCGGATATCAAATCGTTTGTGACTACCGATAATCGACGTAACGACATGTCGTTCACGCCGTCAAATCGTTTGGTCACTAATCGCCATCAATCACAACAACATTATCGAAGCCATCGCATTATGAACCGATTTTCAACGACGCCCATCAATCCATCAGCGGATGGATACGTTTCAAGTGTTCATAGACCGTCCATTTGGCCGTACAAATTGGCAAACATTCACCCGATACGTCCGCACCGTATAGACGCTGGCCTTCGCGGTCGGGGAATTGTCGACCAGATGTCGACAGTTATGCACTTTAATCGACACTAATATATCGTATATAAGATAACGTTATTATATCGTATTTTTCAGTTATTATAATTCAATCGTTTTTACGTAATATTAAATAAACATTAAATTTATTAATTGTTTCGTTTTTATTACGCAATTGTCGGCTAACTGGCCGACAATATAATATAAAATAATTTATAAGACATTATTAATTGTAACCAAAAAAATTTATTAATATATTTAATATTCTATAATTGTTTGACAAAAATATTTTTTTAGCAATTTATTAATTGTTAATTAAATTATTATTATTATTATTATTATTGACATTATTTTTGTTATTGAATTGTTATGATATATGTAAGCAATGTGATTGATTGAACAATACTTGAAATATAAAATTATATTTTTTAAATAAATAAAATAAAATGTGATTTATTAAATGATAATTTTATTATTATTTTATTAATTTTATAAAATAAAATCAAAGAAATAAATTGTGTGAAAAACTAACATACAGTATATATACTGTATATATATATATATATATATATAGGTATATAAGTTTTAAATTTTTAAATTACTAATATATTGCACTATTTTTTTTATTGAAATAATTATTTTTATTAGAAAAATTGATAAAATATAAATATATTTATAACAAAATAATTCAAAGTTTCAATTAATTATTAATTTTAAGTATAAAAAAAACTAAATTTTTAATACTATATATTTTCAATAAATTTAGTAGTGTTTGTATATATATATATATATATATATATATATATAATACAATAATAATAATATATAACGCAATATATATATATATATATAATTTTTTTCATTTAGTTGTTTGTACGATAAAAAATGAAAACACAAACTCCCAAAACTCTGGTTCACTATTCCTATCATCGACTCTAAGCTCCCGTTCCTTGTCTTTAAGTTCTAGTAGTCTATAAAAAATCATTAGATTACCAGTAAATAGTCGATAATCAATAGACCAGTCCTGATATTGGGCTAAAATTTCAGCACAAGTAGGCCTTAAATTTCGTTTAACACCAGTTGTCTGACGTATTATATCCAATAGTTTCAAATATTTTGCAGACCAACCGCACGATTTGTATTTATTATATTTACTTAAAAAAAATTAATTATTTTTAAAAATTTAATTTATATATAAATAAAATAAAAAAAAACAATTAATAAGATCCACACTAACTAACCAATTGATATTTGTTTCAAACATATCCTCAATAGTAATACCAATACTATAGATATCTGATTTTGTATCGTATAATTGTCGGGCCTTGACTTCTGGGGCCATATATTTAGGTGTTCCCAAACCATTAGTATGCAACTGGCCATTTGATTGATGGACAGTCATAAAACCATAATCGCATAGTTTAACAAAACGGCCGTTTTGTATGCTATGGGTTATCAATATATTTTCCGGTTTCAGATCCCTATGAATAACTGATAATTCATGCAAACCATTGACACATTCTAGTAGTTCGCGTAATAATTCACAGGTAATAAAATATTCGATACAATCCATAGGCTGTCCACTGAATGGTTGTCTACTGAATACCTGTGCTTTCAGTTTGATAGCCTCTTTCAACGACATTATACAGAATTCCATTGCTATATAGATTTTATTTGAATGTAAACAACTGCCATAATATTTGACTAAATATGGCGACACTAGTGATGTTAACGAATCAATTTCTTTCGTAAATCTATTTATAATATCTTTATCTAAAAAAAAATAAATATTATTAGTTTAAATAATACTATTCGTGTCCAAAAAATAGTAATTTTTATTATTTATTATATATATATATATATATATATATATATATATATATCATTATACCTGATATATCAATGATTTTTATTGCCTGAMTATTTTTATCCAACTTTTGTCTACATTTATATACCGATCCGAAACCTCCTGAACCMAGTTTTCGTAAATAATCGAAACAAATCTCATAAAAGTTATATCTATTATCTATTTTAGTGATTAATAATTTTTTTTAAAAAAATTAAATATATATATATATATATAAWATAATAATTTAATATAACTTACTTCTGCTATAAAGTTTGCTAATAGTTTGGCAGTCAGTATTAATTTTAGTTAAAATTAATTTTAGATAATCGAGTACTTGTTTATCAAATTTATATCTAGATTTTGAAATCAGTTTATTAATTATCTGGTATTTAGTKATAGAAAATTCAAAATAATTTTTGTAATTTTGTTGATATTTTTGTGCATTTTTCAATTCATAGACAATAGTCTTATTATTATTATTATGAATTGTTTTACACATAAAAATATGTTCATTACATTTATTCGATGTAATTGATTGAATATTTGAAAATTGTTGACAATTACCAATTGGTTTAGGTATCGGCTGTTATATCTATTTGACCAGTAATTTCATTAGTATAAACACCGCAATAGTAGACTTTATTTTCCAGTTCACTAATAAAATATGTATTACCACTGCCTGATTGTATRGATGTAATGCCCGATAAATTGCTAATCAATTGCGGTCTACATATTCTAGTAGTAATAGGAGTAATACTGTTACTATTAGTTAACAGACCTAACTGTTTGAAATCATTTTCACCCCAACTAAACACCTGTCCATCGTTTGTCAATGCAAACGATGAATGATCGCAACAGTAAACAGATTTTTATTGAATAATTGCCACCGAATTCAATCGGTTCGGGACTAGCAATGGCATCACACGTCAATTATCGGCTACCGATTTGACCAAACATATTGTTACCCCAACCGTACACTTGATTACTGACATCAATCAATACTAATGTATGATAGGAACCGCAACTAATACTACTAATTGTTTTGTTATTATCATTAATTTCTAGTCTAATCGGTCGGATAAGTATGTCTTTGTTGTAACCGATACCCAGATGTCCTAAACCATTGCGACCGCAAACATATAAATAATGATTACAATCGTGAAATATTGTAATTTCTTGGCCATTGATTATATTTCTAATCCGTTTATGTCTTAATTCTTCAATTTCTTGCGGTTGACTTACATACCGGTTGTGTCCGAAACCCAGCGATCCGTAAGCATTAGCACCCAATCCATAGACCCGATCGTCGTTAGTAACAAACAACATATTAATACCCAATTCATCGTCAAATACATAAAAGTTTGTAATTATTTTAATCCARTCATTTGATGTCATTATTGATGTCATTATTTTAATAAACAAATTAATTTTAATCAATTAATTAGCAAAAAATAATGTATTAATATTAATATATTGTTTAATTATTTTTTTTTAATAAAAAAATAATGAATCACTTAATACAAGATAGACTAGTGTATAGTAATAACATAATAAAATGCATTGAATCAATGTTTATTARTTCATTTAAAATATGTATGWAAAATATATATTAAATTACATTTATTAGTAAATAAAAATTAACACATAAATTACACTTTTTATTAGAAATTTTTTTATCAACATTTTTATGTTGATTTTAATTGACATACAGTATATATATATATTATTTATGCAATTGCAAATATTGTAAATAAATATATATTGTAATATAGTTATGAGATTTTTGATAATTTAATTTTTACCATTATAATAATACAGTACTTGTTTATAATTGTTTTAAATTATTTATTTATTATAGCTATTATTAAATTTAAAAAAAATCATTTTTACATTTATATACTGATTGCACTAATAAAAGAAATCATTATTTAAAAATCTTTATATTTGTTTAATTTACTTTATTATTATTATATTTAAAATAAAKTAAAATTATATACAGTTTATATATGTRYTTAAATGAMAATAAATACTAATTTAACTAAATATTTGTCTGTTAATTAGTAAATAATATGTMAACTATTGAATAAAGATAGTTTAGATAATATAAAACAAATAAATATAATTTAATTTATGATTAAATTAAATTATATAAAAATAATTTTAAATAAATTATTTCAATAAGTWATTAAGTTGAAAAAAATATATAGATTTCGTTTATAKATAAATAAATACATCAATAGATTTTATTWAAATTAAAATTATAATTATTGTACAATTTTTAATTAATAATAATTATAATAACATTTCTACAAATTATTATCACTTTTTTTTGGAAAACAAATATATCAATCAAATACAAAAAATATTTAACAAAATACAATATAAATATATATATAATTTTAAACAAATATTCAACTATACTATCAAAAAAAAAATTGTTAACAATTGTGGTGTGAAAAACATTGATAGATATATAAATATATATGAAAACACATTTTTTTTGGTTTTTTTTTGTTGTAATACAATTGGTGTTTACATTGTTTGATATAAGTTTTTGTCACAGAATATTCTGTTATTATTATTATTAGATATTATTCTCATTATTATTAYAATTATTGTTGATATTTGTATTTAATTGATTGCCATCATTGAAACTATGGCTGACAACAATCAATGACTGATTGTTGACATCACTGCCGTCCATCAGCTTCGGCAGCGGCGGCGGCGGCGGCGGCGGTAGTGTTGCCGAGGAGTTGGCCATCAAATTGGTYTCCGATTGACTATAATCGGTGGTCGCCGAGTGGTGCGGTACTAACTGGCCACTGGTCGCCGATGTCGTCATCATCATAACCATYGACGACGATATCAAGGATGTACTGGCAATTGTCTCGTTGGACATACCATCGCATGACATACCGTTACCAATCACTAGGCCATCGCCGATACTTGTATTGCTGTTGTGGTGGTGTGGATGATGTCCGACCGTTGCTTCTMCATATCGGTGGTTACCACCGRCAGTGCCGGCAGTTTTGGTCATAAAGTTTGGCGACAATAATACAAAGTTGCTGTCAGTGCGACGTCTCTTTTGATTTTTTTTAATAATTGATGATAACATATATAGATATTTATTATTTMATTTTTTTTATTAGTTTTTAGTTTTTTTAAATTTTTTTGGGGTTTATATAAGGAATATGTAATTATAAATCTCTACTACAAAACACRTCTATTTTTTTTGATTGACACAAATATTATTATTATTTTTATTTATTTTTTTTTTAGTTAGACTGGTGTCCCACGCCATACCTGATCACCTTCGGGACCACCCCTGCCCTCCAAGTATTCTTGATATTGAGAGTAAATACACAAAATACAGTATATCTATAATATATATATATAAACAAAAAAAATCAAAAAAAATATTAATTGAGAAAATAAAACAAAAATATTAGTATAAAGTATTAATAAAAAAACAATATTTATAAGTAAGTAATTATTTTTTTTTGCTTAATTAACATATTATTTAGTTATTTTTCTTTAAATAAAAAACATGTTGTCATAAATCTATCTAATTATTTACTATAATTTTATTAAATTATTTTAAAAACTATTTATATATTGTATAAAAATAAAGTAGACTATCTACACTGTATATATCATTAATAACCTAGATAATAATAATAACATAAATAAWCTAGTGTAAAACTATTTTTTTAAATGAAAATTTACTATCAAAATAATTATATACTATWTTTTATAATAAAAAACTTTWACTGTATATATATATATATATATATATATATATATATATATATATATACTGTTCGAATGCAAAACTATTTTCGCTTTATTTGCATATTATTAAATTTTATATAATTAAAAAACTATTATATTTTTATTAATTATATAATCGTAATTTAATTCTCAATCATATCTTCATTTGTATATATCGACTAACAACTTAAAACTCATTGACACCGATTTTGACCACTTTCCGATTTTTGAATAATATTAATAAAACATAAATACAAAGCAATATTTGCTGTATAAAATGATATCAACCATTTTAATTCATGGTATAAATCCATTGAAATTTTAAATTAAAATAATTGTTACCATATTTTGATATGCTTTTCCTATTGGTAATAGTTAAATTTAAATAGAACCTAATTAAATGTCACATATATTTAGCCTATAATTTTTTAAAAATTAATCAATCAAAACATACTATCTCTTATATTAATTTTCTTTATTGGATTTATCTAAATTATTTCTATATATATATATAATTTTAAGTTTGAATGGTTTTCCAGAACTTTCTTAACAATCTTTCATTTTTATTATTTTTATAATATAAGAGATTTTTAAGGCTTTAGAATAAGCATTATTAAAATCATGATTATAACTTGACACTTTATAATTAATACTAGACTATAACTAAATAAATATTTTTCTAGACACACAACAACAACAAAAAAACACTCAAAAWTATTAAGTTTTATATTTTTTATTTTGTAGTCATGTAATGATATATTTATATTTGTTTATATATATATATATATATATATATATATATATATATGAAAAATTAAATTAAATAAAATTGTAACTGTTTATTTATTTTAAAAGTTTAAAGTCAATTATTYTTGTAAAGATTTTTTTWTATAAACCAAACAAACACAGTATATATATATTTTTAATTTATATTTTTTTTTGTTTATTGTTTGTTATTAATATGGCTAAACTAAATATTTATTTATTTATTTTTTAATTATATAATACATACGTTGATAATACAAATAGATATATCTGTTGAAAACAATATCCAAACAAAAGCGTCAAAAATCTATAAATACAGTCAAACAATATTAATATTAAYAATTATAACAATATTAACAAATAGTAAAAAATAACTTTTTTTTAATTAATAATTTTTTTTAAAAACAAATCTATTTATAATAATTTTCAAAAAATCCTACCGTTTCCTTATCATTGATGAATACACAACACAATGTTAGATCAAGTGATGTAGTGATGGATACGGCTATCAACCAGGGTATCAACATTTTCCGGTTATCCTATTATTATAGTTATTATTGAATTAATATATCATATTATTATTAATTGGCTTATTATATTAATATAATAAATAAATTTATTATTATTATTATTATTTATAATTAACTACAATATTATATATATATATATATATTATACATACCACACATAATCCAACCAATAATAATACCGATGCCATAACACATAGTCCGGAAAATAATAGCAATAATATGCTTATTATGAATAGTACTGTCCATTGATGATGAAGTATAGGAACGGTAGATATAAATAATAAAAATGATAATAAAGTTATTAACTATCAAATAAATTGGTTAGATTTACTGCAATCTATTGTTATATATATATATATTGATATATAATTGTGTGTGTGTGTGTGTGTGTGTGTGTGGGTGTTTTTTATTTTTTTTTTATTTAAATAAATATTTATAAGTAATAATTAATTGAATAATTAAAAGATAATAATAAATAAATAATATTACTAATATAAATATTGCTGCTTGGATAATAATTTTATTATCAAATGATTAATAATTTTTATATTTAATTATTAATACTTTAATGTTAATGTTAATTATAATTTTATATTTAATTATTAATACTTTAATGTTAATGTTAATTATAATTTTATATTTAATTATTAATACTTTAATGTTAATGTTAATTATAATTTTTATTATATTTATTAGCTGATTATTTTAGCATTAATTTATTTTATTATTTATTATTATTATTATTATTTGGATTCTGTATAAACAATATTTAGTATAATATTAATTAATAATAAAAAAAATTAGTCAAATAAATTGATTAAAAATAATACTCATTTTATTATATTAATTAAATATCAAACAAATATCAAACAAAAGTATTGTTTCGCCAGAAAAAAATAATTAATAACAAATTTTTTTTTTATTGCGGTTAATAAATATATAATTTATATCAATATTATTTAATACTTATACAATATATATATAATGTATATAATTTATATATTGTATATTAAGATACAATAATAATAATAATAATTGAATTTCTAAAAATTATTTATTATTAATTGTAATATACAGTAATAAATACAATAGAAAAAAATTGATTGTTTTATTATTATTATTATTTTTGTTAGTAAAAACAAAACAATACAAAAATATTAATAACATTTTATCTTCCCCTCAATTTAATCATCAATAAAAATTATAATCAAACTCAACTGATAAAACGATATATAATGTAATAATAATAATAATAATACTATTAATATAATATAATATATAAAAAAAACCCTAATCTAATCACAAATTTATTAAGTATTTATGACAATAAATATCTCTGTGATATAAGTTAGTAGTAAAATATATAAAGATATAGTATAATAATAATAATAATAATAATAATAATAATAATAATAATAATATTGTAGATAAAAAATAAAATAAAAAATAATAAATCTATCATAAAATAAAAATAAAAGTACTTCAATTTGTTGGGATGACGTTTATAAGACAGTTATTATATATTTGATAAAATAATCTTTAAATATAATATACGTTATAATACTGTATATACAATATATATATATATATATATATATATAAGTAAATGTCCGGAATTTATTTATAATTTTTTTATTATTTATATTTAATAAATATCTTAAGRAATATTTTGGTTGAAAATAAAAACAAACAAAAAATCAAGAATATTCTGTCTATTTAGTGCACAAAATCATTGATATACTTAAAACACATATCAATACATACATACACTGACACACACATGAGCTGCTTATATAAMTGCTAACTATTAAAACTCTCTCTCTCTCTCTCTCTCTCTCTCTCTCTCTCTCACTCACTCACTCACTCACTCACTCACTCACTATTAGTGCATTAAATTTTCATTTAGTTTTTATTATTATTATTATCAAATCTATTCAACACAACACACCATAACACACACACAYACACACACACACACACACACACTCACTATACATACATACATTACAAATCTATTCAACACAACACACCATAACACACACACATACATACATACACAYACACACACACACACACACACASACAKACATACACACACAATACAATAGCTTATAAATTGCTTGATTCTGTCACCAAATCATTAAATTTTTCTCTCTCTCTCTCTCTCTCTCTCTCTCTCTCTCTCTCTTTATCTATCGTTTATATCAGGAAATCAAACACAATTTCTACGCTTAAATCAATGAATTAATTTTCAGTCTCTTATGCTATGTTAGGTCTYATTGTGTTAAAGTGTGTGAATCAGCGGAAAAATATATTGAAAAAAAATAAAATAGCTATATATATGATATGATATATATATATATATATACAATATATATATATATAGTTTAGCATTAGATTTGACAAAATAATAATAATAATACTGCAATAATTTTAGGGTTTTATCAAAAAATCTTATATAATATATATATATATATTAAAAATAATGTGYTAAAAATAAAATTATGCATTTGTTTTATATAATATATATTATATATATATATATAAATTTCATAWTATTTTTAAAAAGTGCTTACAAATGTAATTCATAAAATTATAGTTATTTGAAATGTTTTTATTTTTTGTTGTTGAATATTATATATAAATTTATGTATAAACAACAGTAATAGCAATTTATTTATTATTATTATTTTTTCTTCAAAGACATATGATATATGCATAACATATAATATAACATAAATCTTATTAATAATATATWTATAATATATTCATATTTGTTGTGAAATTTTTTAAATGCATTTCTTAGCGACATTAATATCTTAAAAAAAAYTTTATTTTATTATTATTATTAGATGTAATGGCATATACTATACATACAGTATTAAAACATATAAATTTATATACAATTCATATATTATTATAGTACTGGTATACATGTTAATGTATGCAATAAGCAAAAACAAAAAAATAAATAATTTTTTTATATATTTATGTTATATAATAATAATATAATATTATTCAAAACATATATATATATATATTCAATATAAAAGTTTATATTATATAATACTTACCGGGAATATGAATGACAAGATTTATCTGATGATGAGTTATATATATATATATAATATATATAATATTAGCCATAAATTATTTGATGAAAATTTTTATTATTTTTTTTGTTATAGTTGTTGTTGTTGTCGCCGAAATAAAATTGGAAAAAAATTAATAATAATATAAAAAAAGTTGCATTAAATCTAAAATCTAAAATTTTTTTTTATTAAAATTATATATTTATTTTAGTTTTTTATATATTATATACACACATAAAAAAACTTTTAAAAGGCTTACATGAAAGGCGCCGATAGTCACAAATATTGTATAAGAAATCTATAGATAATAATAATAAATAAATAAATATAATTAGAAATTTTTTTTAATTCAAATAATATGTTTATTTATTTTTTGTTACTTAATTCAAACATAAAAGTTTTTTTTATAATATTAACTAAATAATAATAAAAATCTAATTTTGTACAATACATCTATTTTATTTAAACTAATAAAAAATATTGTATTTTGTTATTACAAATAAATAATTAAATTTTTAAGTTACTAATTTAGATTTTATATAGAAATTGAAATAATAAAAAAAATATTAGAAAATTTTTCTGTTTAAAAAATAATTTAAAAATTTTATTATACAAATTAGTTTATAAGTAGTATAGTATCTGTATATGTATTGTCAATTATTTGAAATATTTTACTTATTTTTTAAAAATAAAAAATTAAGTCTACATTTTTAAGCAATAAATATTTTTCTAATGAGAAAATAATATATATATAAAAAACTACATTATATTTTAGTATTAAACTATTATGTAGTATTTAATGTTAAATATTAATAAAAAAAATGTTGCTATAGTTTCCACTATAATAGATAATATAAATATTTTCTAAATAAGTTTTATTTTATTTATTTATTATTATTATTATTAGTTTTTTTGTATAAATATCTTATAAATTTAATTATTTCTTATATATATAYATAATATATAATATATATATAATATAAAATAACATATAAACAAACAAATTATTGTCACACGAGTGCATTATATTTAATGCATGATATAATATATGATAATATTATATAATATAACATATATAAATATAATATATATATTATATAATATAATATATATTATTTAAGGTATGATTGCTTATAAAAAAACAAATTAATAATAAAYTTTTGTTTTCATTATTATTATTATTATCCAATAGTAATAGCATTAATGTGTTGTATATCTTATTTTTTTGAATAGTTTTAAATAATATAGATTTCTAATTAAATTTAAATATATTTATTTTAACAATAAGTAAAAAATAAGAAAACTAAAATCAAATTATTTAAGTAGAAATCTTAAATATATAAAAATAAAATTTTAGTTCAAAATTTAAAAAAAAACTTAATGTTTATTTAATTTGCATATAAAATGATACACAAAATAAAAGTAAAAATAAACAAATTACTTTACTATAACTTTTATATATATATACAATGTWTATTTCAGATATTTCAATTTTTAAACATACACGAAAAAAACACATTTAATAATAAATTTAAATTTTAGTTTTTCTTTATATATATATATTATAAACAAAATAAAAAAGAAAAACATATATTAAATATTTATTTGAAAATTAAACAAACGATTTACACTAGAAATACAAATAATAATAATACAAAAAAAAACAATTTTGTCGATAAATAAATATATCAATCAAACAAACAAAAAACTTTTATTTGATTTTTGTTTTCTCAAAACATATATATATATATATAACAAGATATTTACATATATTTTACACAAAAAAAAGTGTTTATTTTTTTGTTGTTTTGTTGTTATTTTTTATTGTTGGCTGTAGTTGTTGTCACCCAATAAATAAAAAAAATATCTACATATTTATGATACAAATTCAACAACAACTACAACAACAACAACAATAAAAAATAGTTTTTTTATTGATTATGTAATAACTTGTGTTTGACATAAAATAACAACAAAAAAATATATATAACTAACAAATAAATTTTATTTCCCTCCTTTACAATAGTGTTTACAATATATATAAAAAATATAAATAAAATAATTATAAGTTTTGATGTCATTATATCAATATATATATGCATTTAAATCATATTTTTTTATATATATATAACTTATGATAAATAAGCGTTACTTTTATTGGTATTATTATTATTATTATTGTTAGATATTTTATTATGACATATAATATATTATCTATTTTATTGAACATTGAATTATATAAAGAGTATATGTTATATACATATATATTTGTATATTTATTATTAAATATAAATTATATATTTTTTTATATATAAAATATGTTTGACATTTATATGGTGTGATTTATTTCGACACATTTATTCATAATATTTATATGATATTAATGAATACACTATTTATTATATATTTTATATATATTCAATAAAATTGATTAAATTTTATAACAAGTTTATAAAATATATAAACTATTTAAATTTTATAATAATTAAAATATATTTATAAAAAAATGTTTTATAATAATTAAAAGAAACAAAACATTTTATCAATTATTAAATTTTAATTAACATAAGGATTTATATATAAATATATATAAATTTATATATTGTATATATAAATAAACAATTAATTAGAAAAATAAATTTAGGCTTAACATTGGATTTATATATGATTACGTAATACATTAAAATTAATACATTTTTGTTGTTATAACTTTAATTACTAAATGTTACCTAGCTAAAAAAAATTTTTAATCATTTATTTTTAAGCTAAAAATTATAATTGTAAACCTAATTAGCAAATATAAAGTTACAAAATATAAAATACAAAATAAAAAAATACAAAAACATATTGATATTTAAATTTTAATATATATATATAATTTGTATTTATATTTTTAATAAATAAATAAAAATAACATCTTATTAATTTCAATTTAATTAAAATAGTCTTTTTTATTATTATTAGTATTATTTATTTTTTTATTTTATTTAAAACAATTCATTAGTGTATTGGAAAAATAAAATCTAATTTATATGTTTTAATTAGTTTTCAATTTATTTATAGTGTGCTTATACTGTATTTATTATACTGTATATAAATTTATATATATATATAATTTATATTCAATATTTTATATTTATTGCCAAATAGATAATCCTATTAGTAAAATTATTATTTTTTTCTATAAAAAATAACAATAATACTAAAAATCCAAAAAAATAAGTGATTTTTATTTCTAGAAAAATAGTCATCAAAAAATATGTCAAAAGTAATAAAACATAAAATAAATGAATACTAACATATAGTTTATTAAATCATATATTTATAGATAATATAATGTATATATACTGTATATTATATATAATATTTTATAGCTGATTGTATTAAATATATATAAAATATAAAAATGTTCAATAATTAGATATTTTTTTTTTAAAAAATAATCTGGTAAAAATTTAATAAATATATTTATATATATTGAAAATAATACTAATTTTTAAAATCCTAGGATTTTTTTACTTAAAAAATTATTTTGCAATAATTTTTTTTGTTAATAAATATTTATTAATATTAGACTTTTGAAAAAAAATCCATTAAATTGGATTAAAAAATGTCTATTATTTATAAATATATGTAAATAATTTTAATAAATAATTTATAAATTAATTAATCTAAAATTTATCAGTGTAAATAAAAATAATTTAATTATATTTATTATAATAATATATAAAATTCAACTTTTGTTTACATTTAAAAATATTTTAATATAACAACAAAAATATTGACAAAATTTGTAAATAAGATTTTACTAATAATAATAATATATTTTTAAAAATTTTTATAAGTATTATATTAAGTATAATATATTAATATTTCTTTAAGCAATAAGTAAATCTTGTTTTTTATATAAAAAAAATTCAATAAAAAACAATACAAAAAAAATTTATAAAATAAATTTATGAAAATATAAGCCAGCTTATCTTTTATTTACTAATACTTTTATAATAATTTTTGTTTGTTTGTAATAGTAAAGTACACAACAATTTTTTTAAAAAAAAAGTTTTGTATAATACAGTTATAGTTATAATAATAATAATACAAATGTATAGTTAGACTATAATTGCTGAATAAACAACATTAAAATTAAGTTAATCTTGCATTAAGAGCTAATAAACAGAGAGAGAGAGAGAGAGAGAGAGAGAGAGAGAGAGAGAGAGAGAGAGAGAGAGAGAGAGAGAGAGAGAGAGAGAGAGAGAGAGAGAGAGAGAGAGTTATTATATATTTAATTAAATTAACTAAAAATTTATTTTTTGTTGTGTTTGTGCTCTCATTACAATATAATATACTCTCTGTAATGTTTCACAATAATGATTATATATATATATATATATATATATATATATATAAATTTATATAATATATATTTTTAAAATAATCTTATACTAATTAAACTAATTAAACATCAAAATAATAATCTAATTTATTAGTATTAATATTTATCATATATGTACTGTATATAAATAGCCTCAAAAAAAATCATTATTTTTCCCGGATTACTACCCTATTATCTAAATTAATTAATTAATAATTATATTAATAATCTAGATTTGTATTTTGTATTAATTACTGTAGATTTAATTTTAGTAGATAAAAGTTTATATCTCTTTTTTATATATATAAATAAAATAATGTATAAATTCAGATAAAATATTTAATAATAATAATAAGTCTTAAATAATAATGTAAATTAAAAGTCAAACATAATATAATACAGTAATAAGTATTGGAAAAAATAAATAAATAAAAATATGATATATTATTAGACATTTTAGTCAAATGAAAATAAAAGTCATATAAAATATTTATAATAATAGTTAATGGCTTTTTAAAAACCGCATAATTTATAGTTTAAAATGATTTTTTTAAAAGAGAAAATAACAAACAAACAAATAAACAAAATAAAACCAAAACATTATTAAAAAAAAATTTTATAATATATACTGATATAACAGAAAGTAATAAAATAATTTTATCTATGAAAATGAGTATAAATTTTTTATTATTGTTGTTGTTGTTATCATTACATTAAATATAATATAATATAAAACTATGGTTATTATATCCAATGGGATTTTATATTCATATAAAAAAATATTTTTTTTTAGTTATTTATCTATTTTTGTTTCATATATATATTTAAAATAATTATATATTTAAGTTATATAAAAAAAATAGTTCAAAAAAATTGTCATATATTTCATATACACATTTATATGACATATTATACATAAAACATAT